CCCTTCTGTGGAGCCGCCTTCGTGGGGACGACCGGCGGTGGAGGGGCAGCCTCAAGGGCAGGGGCTCCGGAACCCTGAGCCAGCACGGTGGCAATCAAGTGCTGCTCACCCTCAGCCGTTCGTCGGGCAGCGTCAGAGGCCGAAGAATTGGAATCCGATGCGGGGGCGTTCTTGGCCTTCATCAGTGCGGCTTTAGCAGCGGCCGCCTTGGCCTTCCTCGTTTTCAGGCACTCAGCGTGATTCATCTGAGCTCTGTCTGGCGGAGAACCTGCAGGAGAACGGTAAAGGGTTAGAAGACGAACAGAGAATGCAAAAGGACACTCACCTCGAAGGACAGGACCGCCCGGTGCCCCGAGACGAGCGTCGAAGGGTGGAAGGAGTCCAAGGACACGGGCGGTACCTATGCCTGCCCCCGAGAGTGCCTCGAAGGTCAGATAGCCAGCTATGGGGCGAATGCCGCCCTGAAGGATGCCTTCCACGGCCTCACTCAGATCGTCGGTCAACTCCGGCGACTCTATCTTCGGGGGATAGCCATTCCAACGAACTGGGAGGGGAGGACCATCATGGCGAAGGAAGAAGAACCGGTTTTTCCAGTCATGGATGGAGGAGGGGTAGCTCTTAAACAGCCTCCTCCCCGGACGAGCGGCCACGCTCAGATACCCGTCGGAGTTCTGGGGAGTGATCCGGTAAAAATAGTGGAACAGATCCAGGCTGGCTTCGACCCCCGCAAGTTTGCAGCGCACCAAGAAGGCCGATATGAACCTATAGGAGTTTGGCATGAATTGCGCCGGGGCCACTTGGAAGCAGTGGAAGAACTCCACATAAAATGCGTGAAGGGGGAACCGCAGCCCAGCTTCGACGGAGTCCAAGTGAAGCATGATCATCCCTGGACGTCTCCTCATCACGTGCTCGGCGCCCCTCACGCTCCAGACGAACGGCGGGGGGAAGAAGGTGCGGATTTTGTTGAGGGCCACACGGGAGAGGACCTGGTCATGGTCAAGGGCGCTCCTGATCGGGCAGATGTGGCGCTCCATATCCGTAGGGATGCCCAGGTCATACACCTCCATATCGGAACCGGATTCGGCCTCCTCTCCAGAATCATAATCAGCAGGACGCTCATTCAGGGGGACTGCGTCAATAACATCTACTGCCCCGTCAGCGCCCCTGTCCCCGGCGTCGCTCCCACTACTTTGAGACACATCATCCGGCTCGCCATCAGCCCGGATGGACCCCACCGTCGTGGCCGAACCAGAGGTCCCGGAAATACTGGCCCTTCCGGGGGAGCGCGCACTCACATTGTCCGAAGAGGAGCCCGAGGAGGAACCCGACGAACCGGATTCAGAACTTGACGAAATCTCCATCGAAGTCATGTCGGCTAGGAATCAGAACAAGAAAAGAAGCAGAGGGGGAAAATTACCTTACAAGGGGGTTAGCCGAATTCGGAAAGAGAGAAGAAGACTTGAAGAGCTGCGAAAAGTCGAAAGCAAGAGGGCAGAAATTGGGAACCCTAATTCAGAGGGAAAACCCGGCATTTATAGCAGAAATACCGATGGGGAGACCAACGAGGAGCTGACACGTGGCAAGGAGCGTATTCCGGCCCACGCGCTGTGCGTGGGATGGGAACGTAATGATGGCACTTCCTCGGGAAAATGCGTCGCCGCAACATCAGCCGTCACCTCGTTCCCTGAACCGTCAACAGCTGTCAAGCACCATGACCACGAGCGTACGCTTCCCACGGGTGCAGAAAACACAAAGTATCAAGACACGAACGTCTACCTTGAGGGGATTCCTACTTCCTTATGTCCTGCGCGAGCCCAGAACATCAGAAGTGGGGGACTTGTGTTGGGTTAAGGGCCCAAGCCGAGGTCCGGCCCACTAACCCATATTGCCAGACGCACGTCCAGTTAGAACACCAGGCCATCCCACAGGCCCATGTCCCTTGAGGATGGACGAACGTCTGATGTTGGGGGCTCAGGCCCAGCAAACTCATCCCGACGAACGGCTGTACGGGGACAAGGAGCAGGACCACGGGCCACCAGGGATGGCGACGAACGTCCCCGGGGCGAGCCTGTAGTCATCGGAGGGGACCCAGTTCACATGGTGAATATCTACAAGGCCAGGAGACGAACAGCCGATATCTTTCGAGGGTCACTTGGAGCAATCCAACTCACTTCCCGGGAGGACGAACGTCCCCACTAATCAGGCGGGAAACCTAGATTCTGGCGGGAAGTGCATTTAATGCTGAAGATTTGGTAGTTGGGACACCAGCGGTCCACAGGCTGCCACGTCAGTACAGCCACCTGCCCATTGGTGGGTATAAATAGAAGCATTTATTTCATTGTAAAGGGTTGGCAACTTTCTATTCTTAGCATACTAGCTTCAGCATTCTTACTTGCAGCATTTCTAAGTGCCTTGTAAGACGAACGGCCGACGTGCCTTTTTAGCAAGTAGATTGTATTTAGGGGAGTTATTACGAAGTTAATAATACCTACTTACATTGCCTGCTATTTCTCTTGTTTCCTGATCCATCTGAAAGTTGTTGGGCTAGATATCCACACACTCACTCCACTCGAAATCTTTGGGCTTACGTGTTGGGTCCAAGGGTTGAAGGAATAAACCTCAACAATCCTAATCTGGTAAAATATATTTTTCCTTATTACCATTTCATAAATCAATAAATTTACTTGGCATATATTTACTTCTATCCTCGTATTATCTTAGGAGTCCTTATTTAATTTCTCTGAACGTTATTCAATAAGTGAATGTGAGCTTTAGAGTGTAGATATATATACCTTACATATGTCATGTGAAGTGAAAGTGAACTTGAAATGTATCCACCAGTCTGTTTGAAATTCGCTTTCTTGATGTTTTTTGACTAATTTATAGAATGGATTTTAGAATACCTGCACTTTTACAGGTCATTTTTTGCTACTAGAGGACTGTTAAACAAGCTAACTCTTTCAGCAGAGCTATATGCACCAGAAGGTATATCATGTTTTAGTTTCTATCAATATGAGAGTATACCTAGGCTTAAGGTTTTGATTATTCAAAAATGTTAATCCAATTTGTGTAAAATAGGATAATAATCTAGGTATGTATGGTTTTTCTAGCTAGTTTTATCTTATTATATGATTGATTACTCTTAATGTATGGAATATAGGACAAGGTTAAGTGACTTTTTTATATATGTCATTTAGCAGTTCATCATAGAGAAAGAGTTGAGTGGTAAACCCATTCATTTCCTGGTTTAGGGTATGTTGTGGTTTTCAATCTATCTATCTGCAAAAAAATTGAAAGCCTGTAGGCTAGAGCTTCTATTTTGTCTTTAAAGAGAATATATGGCATTGCTTAAATTTTCTGAAGATTTTGTTTAGATTTTCTGAACATTGATTAAATTTTTTGAATTTAAGTAAGATTTTGCTTAGATTTTCTGAACATTGATTAAATTTTTTGAATTTAAGTAAGATTTTGCTTAGATTTTCTGAACATTGATTATATATTCTGAATTTAAGTAAGATTTTCTAGTTCTGAGACCTTTTCATTGCAGAATATAATTGAGAGTATGAAAGACCCCAGCATTGCAGCATTTTGGTTGATTACCTTACCTCAGGTAGCAAGAGGATTTATATATGAAGATGATGTCAAAAGGAAGATATGGTGGCAGTACAAGGTCTACTTCTGTTTATGATCACTTTTTCATTGTATTTATTGCCTTCTACGTAGTTGGGATCTTGTCTAAGAGCTTATATATGAAATCATATGTTTTAATTTATTATTTTATTTAAATGTGCTGTTCACCAGAAGAAGCACCAACATGTTGAACTAGAAATAATATAGGAAAACGTTAGTATCGGCTTTTATATCTTAATTTTGCAATTCTTAACTTTTTGGTATTTATTAAACTCATTAATAATTTTTCAGGTTGAAGCACGTGACATGTTGTAACAATGTCCATCATTACAATGCATTGATGTATTTCAGAAGTGTTTTGGACCTCAACAATGTAGTCATGTAGTTGGTTTTGGAGTCACACTGTCTTCTTAAATGAATCAACTTGGAGCCAATGCAAATTACATGAAGCAGAAGAAGAATATGAATGCACAAGGAATTGACTAATTGCAGGCAATCAAAAAGCTTAAGAGGACATGGAAGGAAAGACCAACCTCAAGAACACAAAAATCAGTCAACTGGTTCTGAACCTGAAGCACCAGTTATTTGTTCTATCACATTTATAGCAATGTGCATGAGAATTTAAAATGAAGTATATTTTAGTGATTAATTTGGAATCCTGAACCTAAAGATTTATGATTTTATTTAGATTCAAAGTTGATTTAGATTTCTGTAAGTTATTCGTTATTTTTTATTGGAGAGTGAATAGTATATAATTTCCATCATTAGTATAATCAAATACATTCAAAATATAATGAATGGATAGTAAGTTAGTGTAAAGGTTCTGCATTTTTGGCGAAGCCATTGAGATTACAAAAAGAGCTAATTATGTATTGTATAGTTTTACTTTTAGCGAGGGGATATTGGTCGCAATTTATCTAATATAGTAGTCTCTAGTAATATCAATAGTGTCCACATGATTTCTGGTCTCAAAAAGTTTTAGCGACGGGGTTCTTTTTCCAGTCGCAAATAGCCTTTTGCGGCCAAGCCAATAGGGACTGCCCCGCGACCACATTTTTTGGTCGCAAATAATCAATAACGACCTAGGTAGCACGGAAACGGGAAACGGGAAACGTCGGAAACGCCATTTCCCAAAAATACAGGACACGAAACGCGGGGGAAACGCGCAAATATTAAAAATATAGGGGTTATTTTATAAATATTATAAATATATATATATATATATATATTTGGGAATATTTTTTATATGTGTGTGTGTGTATATGTATATGTATATATATATATATATATATATATATATATATATATATATATATATATATATATATATATTGACACACACACATATACATGTACAAACATGCCACACGGCCCACACGAGATTATTTCATCCTAAAAAGTCATAATAATTCAGCATATTGAAGTCTAACATTATTGAAATCTTAGTCCATAGAAATATTGAAAACTTAGTCCATAACAAAACAGTAAACACAACATCCATAAAAACAAATTAAGTTGCAGTGGAGCCATCTTCCACGGGATCAACATCTTCATTAAAAAAAACACGTTCAAGATCCGGTTCATCCAGTGATAGATTTGCGAACTCAAGAACACCAACATCTTCCAAGCTTGCAAATTGATCTCCACCAACATCCCACATCTTAGTGTTCTCATCTTCATACTGGGCAGAATTTCTTGAAAGTAAGCGTAGATTATTGTGAATGAACACCAAATCTTCTGCACGCTTCGGATTTAATTTGTTCCGTCGTAGTGAATGGATAAAAGAATAAGTACTCCAATTTCGTTCACAACAGGATGAAGAGCTAGGTTGCCCAAGCACTTTAAACGCCAATTTTTGGAGTAATTGTGCACCTGATCCATACACTGCCCACCACTTTCTAGGATCCGTATCACACATAGCAGCAATACAATCTGGGTCGCTAAACGGACCAATCTTCAAAGAGAAATTAGCGTATTCATCAATAGCCTTAACACGCTCTTCAGACGGAAAAATTCGCCTAAAACACTTATTTCTCTCTAAAGAAAGTTCATTATCCATATGTGGAGGCAATCTCCCAACTCCTTCCTGGATCCATTTTTCACTATAATACCTACGATTTAAAAACAAGTATATATATAATATATAATTGTAGGAGTTAAATAAATAAGTAATAGGGGAATTAAATTAAACATAAATAAATACCGCGGATTTAAGGAATGAGCTAAGCAATGAAGCGGGGTGCTGTTCTTCGTCCAACGTTCAACAAGAATGCGATGAACAACGTAGTAAAAGGGAGAATATTCACCATATGTTTTTCCTTCATGCTCAAAGATAGTCATTCTCACCTTTTCAATCATTGAGTCCCACATCTCGTAAACCAAATGGAGACATGGTTTGTCAGTATCACAAATTCTAATCATATCATAGATAGGACCAGTGAACTGCAATATGTAATCAACCTTCTCCCACCAACCTTCCTCTAAAATCTTTTCACGCACAAATTTAGCCTTTCCTTGATCATCATCTCGATATTCTGCCCATTCATCACTCAAAACCATTGTTTGTAAAGCACGTCTCAAAAGTTTAAACCTCTTAAGCATGACAATAATAGAAGCAAAGCGAGTATCAGCAACTGAAAGCAACTTCAAAGTGCTAAATCGGCTGAACATAGAGAGCCTCATGGAATGGTTCATTATGAAATTTTTGATGTGCACCGCATCTCCATGAACTTCTGTGATCCAATGACACTCTTCATATGTTTCTGCATTTGTTAACACATTTTTCGCCGCACAGATATTCTTTAAGGCAAGGTTAAGAGTGTGAACAACACAAGGAATCCAATAAATATGCGGAAATAGACCTTCAATAATTTCTCCAGCTGCCTTGCAATTTCTGGCATTATCGGTGATTACTTGAATGACTTTGTGATCACCAATCTCATTAATAACATCTGTCAATATATTAGCAATGAAATGCTTATCTTTTACCTCCCCTGAACAATCGACAGCTTTGATAAACATTGGCCCAGCTTCACAAACAACCATCACATTAATTAATGGCCTCCTTTGCGGATCACTCCATCCGTCACTAACTATGGTCACACCTTTTTGATACCAAGTGGTTTTTATAGGTTCCAAGCACATCTCCACGTGCGCTTTCTCCCGTTGAAGTAATGTAGTTCTCAACTTGTTATAACCAGGAGGTACATATCCACCCAAATTATGATTAGCAGCAAAAGTATATGAGCTAATATAATATGGGTTTCTTGCAAAATTAAAAGGAATACCTCCAGTGAAGAACATCCTTGCAATCTCTTCGTCTAACTGATTCCTAGTTTGCAAATCAAAAGCTTTGGCAATGGGCGAGTCATCGACTCTTCTTTTTTTCAACATCTCTAAACGACTTGGTTCGTTTATCGATAAATAAGTTGAGCTGCTTTGCGTGCTGCTAGTAGGCAAGGATACTCGCTTGGGTTGTGAACCAGCTATTTGTTTTGCAGCATCTTCTTCAAGCTTTTTCATTTCAAAAATACTCTCCAGCCCAACCTTTGGACATACAGCGATTCCTTTTGAAGGCAGTTTAAGTAAATGAGCCCTCACTCTAGTGTATGTCCCCTATTTTTGGCTACCACAAAAGTTACAGATCCATTTCACATTGCCACCTCCATCACCCGTTTTTTGGAGTCTTTTAACAAATTGCCACAAAGGACTACTTACCTCCTCTTTAGATTGTGTCGTATCATTAACACTGTCCTCCATCACTACAAAGTTAAAAATAATCTAAATTATACGATATGCAATAAAATACGGAGTATAAAAAAGTAATTGAATTATTTAACATACTATAAATATTAAGCTTATTCATAATGTGGTGATTGAGTTACACGAAGTATTCAACAAAATTATAAACATTGTATGTGCGTATGCCAAGCTCCAATTAAAAATTAAAAGTGCCAAATGTCTAGTGGAATACACAGCACTACTGCACTATTAAATTTCACTTTAAATGCACACCCACTAATCTGCCATTTTACACCCACCGACACTAAACACAATAAATATGGGACTGGTGGCTACTGACTACGAACTGGGGATTGAAGCCTATATTTACAGAAAAAATCATTAATCTTACAAGCTCAGAACAATATAGCCAACGACGTACAAGACGAGCCACCTGCTCAAAACGACGAAAGAAGGGGATAAGGGGAACTATTTCAAAGTATCTGAAAGTTACCTGAACGACGACCTCTGCGGCAGGTGACGACCTCTGCTGAAGCCGGCGAACCCTGCTGAAGCCGGCGACGAAGTGATGACTGCTATGAGTGCTATGCGTAGGGTTGAAGAGTGAAGATGATTGGTTTGACTTCTACTAACACTAATATTTTAGTTTTGGGGCTTCCCGTTCGCTGGAATGTAAAACGGCCCTATTTTTTTTTATCAGAACTGTGTTTTTTTTGGGGGAAACGCGTTTCCGAATTTCCCTAAATTAAGAAACGGTCCAGGTACGCGTTTTTGACGTTTCCCACGCTCGGAAACGTTCCAACGTTTCCAATACGGGGAAACTCCCACCCCCAGGCGTTTCCGTGCGTTTCAGATAACGACCAATTATTTAGTTTTTGCGACCACATTTCCCTTCGCAAATAGCCCATTTTCTTGTAGTGAATGGTGATAAAAATACTAGTAATAATAATACTTTAAACTAGTAAATTAATTAATGTACCAACTTAGAAGTGTAGGCACTTAGCTGAAGAATAATGGAGACGTTCGTCCAGGTAATCTCCAAGTGGAATGGGGTGAGCTCCTTTCACCAATTTTGACTTTGATGACATATTTTCACAAGTCCCATACGTTCAACCAATGGCCCCATTGAAAATTCTCAATTTCCATTGAAAGGCTTTTGATTTTACTTAGCCAAGACGTACGTGGTCTTTTAGAGAATTCTCTTGGAGCTGAAAAAGGTCCGGCCCATCGACTTAGTAAAAGCCCGTTGGCTTTCCCTTCCTTCGCAGCAACAAGAGGAAACGTCGGCTGACACCAATAGCCGAGCGGCGGATCAACCATAGGCCGAGCTGCGTGCCAACTTCGATCCGACAACGGCCTGCCGTTTGTGTCCTAAGGGGGATGAGCGTAGGTCAGGCTGAGCGGCGACCAGCCCATCGCGGCGTCCATGGCAACTCCTCTCCGGCCGGTCAGCCATGAGTGTCGAGCGGCGTGTGGTAGACTGAAGCCGAGCGGCGAGGAAGACCCTGTTCGGGGCCGGCATTCACTTCCATAGTTCCATGGTTCACTTGGAGACTGGCGACGCTCTGAGCCAATGCTCTCCCCAAAATTTTAGTCTTGAATTCCCTTTGAGATCTTGCAGATTCACAGAAAGTCAGGACTATGCCGATTGCTGATAAGTGATCAAATGGGACGGTGATAAAACTGACTACGAGTCGGGTGGCCACTTAACCAAACGGCAATCGGGCCGTTCGTCGTTGATCATTGAGCAGGTCTTTGGAAAGACGGACGTCCAGCCTGCAAGGTTCCGGCTGTCCCCTGAGGTGCGTTGAGAACAGGGCTTCATTTGAGAAGCCGCGCGGCCATCCTGTTAGTCCAGGCTGCCTGGGGACGGACGGTTGTAAGAGTCGGGGTGGCCGGGCTTCAAATGGCGTCCAAAACTGGGTCCTGCGAGTGGTCCACGCGAAACTGCTGCCTTTTCTCAAAACCCTTCGGATTACTTGCCTGGTTAAGTCGTCGAGTGCCGACCGGCGGACCACTGTAATTGGGCAACGTTCAGCACTTGTCAGACTTCTCGTAAGGGGCAGTGCGTCCGATCCCTTGCTATGCTTCCTTTGAGTTCAGCATGTACGTGCATGGAAACAGGACCTCCGTAATCTCAGGTGGGATGAGGGTTGCTCATCGGGCGCTACCCTCCTCGGCGGACCAGCTTTGGTAGGGGAGGTTCTACATGCGGCAACTCTAATCGCATATAGAGGCACTTCGGTTCTTGGTGCTGGTTTGGTTATTTGCATCATTGAAAAGTTAAAACAGGGATGTGGGCCCCTCAAGTCATTTCACCATCCTGTAACCTTCACTTACCCATGTGGGGAGACAAGCTACTCCTGCTAACGAGTCAGTAGCTCCCGTTCTTCATCTTCTTCCTTGGTAAAGGTCAACCACTTGCCCCCATCGGCTCGGCCTTCACCGAAACAATTTCCGGCTAAACGGTTGTCTATCGTGGTTTGGAACATCGTACCTAGGTGCTTCTATTTCCATTTTCTTCCCCTTATTCTTACTGACAGTAAACTCCCTTGAATCAGTCTTTCTTGGGGATATCAAGAAAAAACAATCTTTGCAGAACCCACGACGATGGAAGGTTGCTCCGGCTAGCATAGGGTCTACCAAATTCCAGATTCGGACTTCCTACTTCCTTTTTTTTTCCAGAATCTTTTCATTCTTTTTTCTTTGCTGGAAACCAGATGTTCCAAACAACTTTTCTTCTTTTTTGCTGAATCGGTTCCTTTCGTATGCATCTTTGATGCAGCAGACTGAAGAACACGCTTAGTCTTTTTGAACTGATTCCCACAGACGGCGCCAGTGTTGAGTTTTAATCCAACACGATATAGTAAATATATGTATAAATGTGTATGAACACTCAGTTTTTACGTGGAAACCCGAAAGGGAGAAAACCACAGGACTTTTTAGGCTAATGTCCAAGCCCTCTCTTTCTCATTAGAACTCTCCTCACCATTACATAGTACATTTTGAGCTCCCATTAATGGAGTCTTGCAAGCTATTCTAGAGAAAAGAAATGAGTTGGGGAAGAAGAGAAACGGGGGATCAAAAGGGATCCCTAAACATGTGGGAAAGCCCCATATTTATAGGGGTAAAGGAAAGGGGGAAGCCTAACCTAATGGGCCAAGTAAGCCCAAAATGGGCCGAAAGGGCCGAAACATGCCTAATAGGTTGAAATGGACCTTGTCATTCGGGCTCCAAGCTGGGGCGATGCCTTGGGCTCCTGAACAGTAACGGACCGGGATAATATACCTCAACAGCTACCATTCATTTACCTTTTTCTTACTCAACCACAACCACACATTTCCACTTTATTCCCACTTTCTTAAACTGCGATCCAAATCCTAGTGGTAACTATTTTATGGGACGGTAAGAGTAATTACTCCAACTTTACGAATAAAAAATGACAGTTCTATTTTGGAATTTTCAAATTTTTGTAGTGATTAAACTCTTATATTACTACTCCGTATTAAATTGGGGAAGAACGTCAAAAATTTATGTTATGTGTGTGAATAAATATGTTACAAATAAAAATATAAAATCACACAATAAATTATATTTAAGTTCAATTTTGTTTCACGTATTACTTGTGATGGTGGATACATAGGACACGTTTACTTCACATGTTACTAAATGGTGGTTATTAAGACTCGTGTTAATAAGCGGCACATAAAATAAGCGGTCTTATAAGCTAATGTTTACTTCAAATGATTTAAAACACTGTTTTACACTTAAATGTCCAAAATAACTTTATACATATACAGACATACAAACATTCATGTACAAACAATGGGACAAGATCAGGTAGTGGCACACAAACTAATAAAAAGTGGTTTATGTGATTGATATTAAATTGATAAAGTAAGAATAAAGTAAGAATGATTTAGAGCCACACAAACTTTACCAAATTTGGTAAGAGACAATCTTAGTGGGACGCAACCGAAAAGGTAAAATGGGACAATCTTAGCGGGACGGAGGGAGTAATATAATACGTGGAGGTCACCTCGTGCGTGTACCTACCCCTACCCTGACTCCCCTACACCTACCCCGCCCCAACCCCTTCCCTACCCCTTCCCCTACCACAACCTCTTACTAGTGTACCCATACCCCATATGCCCCTAATCCCCTTACCCCCGACCCCTGTACCCCTTACCCCCTACCTCGTACCTATACCCTTCCTTACCCTTATGCACTACCTTTACAAGTAGGCTCGCTCGTACCCCCGCCCTACCCATTAATCCCTTACCCCTAGGGTGGGGATAGGGTAGGGATAGGGTAAAGGTGAGGATAGGTGGTAGGAGTAGTGTATAGTGGGTATGGTCGTGGTAGGGGTAGGGTTGTGGTAGGGATAGGGGTAGGCAAAAGGTTAGGGATTAAGGTGTTATGGTAGTATGGTAGGGGGTAAGGGTTTAGGGGCGGGATATAGTGTAGGGACACGAGCGTTGGTGTAGGGTGTAGCGAGTGGGGTAAGGGTTTAGGGGTGGTAAGGGCTAGGGGTAGGGGCGGGGGGGTAAGAGTGGGGGTAGGGTAAATGGGGTGTAGGGTGTGGGGGTTGGGGTCGGGTAGGGTGGGGTTGGGGTCAGGGTAAGGTAGGGTAGGTTAGCGGTAGGGCGGGGATGCGTATGGGTACGGTACGAGTAACAATAAGGGATAAGGGCAAGGGTTAATACATGGAGGTGGTATATGCTTAGTAAGTGTCACTTTAAGCGCCTCTTTCAGTTAGTAAACGGCTTTTTAAGTAGCTTGTGTGTTACTTCACACGTCTTACTAACCTAAATGTGAATTTAGCAGCAAAGTAAACACGTCCATAAGCTTGAAATCTGTAAAAATACTTTGTACTCCGTATAATTTAAAACGATTGTAATTTAATTTACATATGAGAAACGCATCCATACAAATAGCTCTGAATTGTGGTAGGGAGAAAATAGCAAACCAAATTACCATTAAGGATGTTTTCTTTTGGATTGTTTTCACTCCCAAACCAGATCAGATTTGAACATACCAGACTAGACCAGACTTAAATAGATCAGACCAGACTTCCATAGTTATAAAATACATAAAGATCAAACATTTACCAAACCAAATGATACTGGACTTAAACAAATACCACAAATTACTGGTCCTTGACGTAAGAAATGCACCAACTGTCGTTGACCTCAAAACCTTGAGAAGAATACTTGAGGCGACGACATTTCACCCTAAGAAGACCGTACGTTGACTTCTCATCCAACCTGGCCATGAACTTCACCTCTAAGCGCGCGAAGATCTTATGGTCGAACGTGCTATACCCCGACTTCCCCGTCTTGAAGAACTCGGAGTTGCCGGCGTCAAGAGGCGCGTCTTGTGCACGAAGACCGAAGGTGAAGAGATTGTCGGAGCTCCGGGGAGGCAGCGGGGACGGGACGGGCAATGCGGAGGACGACGCCACCAGCGTCGGCAGCTCCGCTTCTCTTTCGAAATAGAGAGAAGTTGCTTCCGTGGAGTTGGTGAAGTCAACGGTTTTGTTTTTGTTGGAGTTGACGGCTTTGAGGGTGAAGCTGAAGTCGGCGGTGAGGTGGTCATCTCTATAAACGGTGTTTGTCATCGCCGCATTCACGACGGAGTAAACCGGTTTGATTGGGCCGGGCCGCGAGTGCCCTGACTTGATGGTCCAAACAATAATGGCAGTTACGGCGGCAACCACTAGAAAACAGACAATTGCACAAATGGCTTTTTGCATTCTCGCTGCCATCGCCGTGGGGTAGTGGCTATTCGATCACGACCTCCGCGCCGGGGGTGCGTAGATATATGAGGATGATGGTTGGGATTGTCATATAACACACAGTGAAGATGCCAAGATGGTAATAATTATAAGAAGATCGAATCTTTGGGATGAAGAAAGAATTACCATCATGCAATGCAACTATGCAAGTAGATATAGGTAGAATAATAAAATAAATTAAGCGTTGTGAATTCTTGCACAATCATTCTCTAAAAGACAACATTAAATATGAAATAAAAATACAGAAAAAATGAAATAGAACTTGGTTAATTTAAGATCAAAACATACACAAAATTCACCACATGCTATTTTAAGTGCAACATTGCAAATTTTACACTATTCACATGTTTTACTTTGACAACATTTTATTTATTAATGTATCAATATATTTTTTTGAAAAAAATATTACTAAATTTGTCTCATTATAAATTTTCAAAATCTCATTTTTTAAATTTTTTTACTAATAGAGAATTATATATATTAATAACGGTCAAAGTTGTGCCTCGACAAATGTGGAATGTTGACTGTTGCACTTATTTAAGAACGGAGGTAGTATGATTTAATTCATATATTCTCCAAATAGGACTGATTTAGTTCTATTAAAAGAAGAGATGTCATAAATAAGACTAAAACGTTTGTTTATTTCAAAGAAGAACTTTCATTTTTTATTCTCTAAATAAGAGTCATTACTGTCATGTCTTGGCAATACCTGACTTGAAACATGACATTATTTTCCAAGCTTAATAGCAATTACTCATACTTAGAGAGTAAAACATGTCATTCATATTTTAGAATTCTGAAATGTTTTTAATTACTCATATTTCAGGAATTGAATTTTCCCTTAAATAGTTCTATTTAAAAATTTAACATTTCGTTTATTTGTTTTAGTCTTATTTGAGGAACTTTCTGTATTCATAACTACCCAAAATTCATACGAGATTTTTTTTCAATTCATCCTAAATAATTAGAAAAATGTCATCATGTCAATATTAGTCATTGATTGTAAAAATGTACTACGTGTGTGTGTATATATATATAATTATATATATATATATTTATAATACACATTTTAATATATTACTCCGTAATAAATATATACACAATATATATGTGTATATATGCGTGTGTGCATGTGTCACTCATATCTTGTAGGTTCAGTAATTCCATCTTATTTAACTTGTTTGACTCTTTTTTCGAGATGCAGTAGATAATTAGTTTTGCATGTTCATTGTAAGGGATTCTTTGACAAGTACAACAAAAAAGTGTTTCGACTCTTTAATATTATTCTTTTTGAAAAAAAAAAAAGAAAGGACTTCATTGCATACTTTTTTTAATATTAATTCTTTTTAAAGTGTTATTGTGCGTAGATGTTTAAATACTTCAATGTATGATACTCCGTAATATATAGTTATATAATATACTCCGTACATGTTTAAACAAATTGAAAGGACATATAAATATACTCCGAAGTATCATGCATGGTACTTTTTTAGATATACTTGTATATAGTTTCATTACTTTTCTGGAGATTGAGCATTGAATTGATATAAAAAAAATTGTCCTAAATGTGATTAGAACATACTGATAATTAAAGTTCTCAAGTAGGATTACATGTTTATATATCTTAATATTATAATATATGATCCCGCAATGCCAATTTACCTTTATTATAATTAATTAATAATTAATTATAACCTTTAAAACCTAATTATTTGAGTACTATTCCGTGGGCTCATTTAATTTAATATCATGAGCTGAAATCTAAACTATCTAAACAAGGCCTAATACTAAAGATAACTATCATTCCCTTATAATATTTAAACTACTCTTCATAATTAAATTATACTACGTATGTATTAAAAGTAACACCACGGTAATATTTAATGATAAAACCGTATACGACTATCATTACAGTTTTAATATATATAAAATGGAAAGTTCCCAAAATAGGACTAAAACAGTTTGAAAATTTCAAAATAGGACCAACATGTTTTTTATTCTTAAAATAGGAGTAATTACTGTCAAATTTGAAAAATACTGCCATGTTTGAAGTCTGGTACTGCCAAAACATGACCGTAATTAGTTCTATTTTGGGAATAAAAACATGACAGTTCTATTTTGGAATTTTCAAACCTTTTTAGTCCTATTTCGAGTAATATTATCTATATAAAAT